ACACCTGTCTCTTATACACATCTAGATGTGTATAAGAGACAGCACACACACACACATACACACACACACACACACACACTCATATCGATAAATGGAACAACTCTCTCTCTCTCTCTCTCTCTCTCTCTCTCTCTCTCTCTCTCTCTCTCTTTTTTTTTTTTTTGCACGCTCTTAGTCTCGTTGCTTTGGCTACCTTAGGGCTGCATTCCCCGCGCCCACGCGGTAGGCAATCATATTGATGGGGCAGGATAGACAATATCATATTGATGGGGCAGGATTCAAAACCCACACCAGTTCGCTACAGGGTCGATTCCAACATCCCCCTGCACCACATTCTTATGAGTGCATTATGGTTTATCTTGAGGTCACCAAGTACCCCCTGCTAGCATCTTATCGGAGGCCATGGTAATACCGGTTCTGAAACCCACATCAGTTCGCAGCAGGGCCAATTGCAACCAGAGGGAACCCTCTGGCGCATCCCCCCTGCACCCCATCCTTCTCAGTGCATTATGGGTTGTATAATCTCGAGGATATCAACTGCCCCCTAGTAAATATCATATAAGGGGGAGCGAGGTACTACCGATCCCGAAAGCCGCATGAGTTTGCCTCAGGGCCGAATCCAACAAGGGAATACCTCCGGCCCATCCCCCCTGCATTCCCCGCCTCAATTTGTTAACGACTGTGTCTGCGTCTGGTGTTGTTGTATTGGGATTTCAACTCGTGGCCTGTGTATATTTCGCCAGTGAGCTACACGTGTGTAACATTCAGCCACGAAGGTAGGTGGGTGGTTCTGCTTTTCCTACTTTGTTCGGGAGTAACCGGATTGCACTACACCAGCGAGGATAGCCGTGGGAGTGAAAAATTTAATTCGAAAAGACGATGCACATAATGGGGAAATAAATTCCCAGATTGTGACGTGGAGCGGAATCCGCTTACTCCCTAAAGAGTGCGTGATCTGGGCCAATATTTTTTATTTTTTATTTTTCTCAAAGTAAAAGCTACATTCTTCTCTCAATTTCACCTCACACTACCCACTTTCCTCTCTGCTTCCTTTCCTCTTTTTTTTTTTAACAGGGCGACGGGCTTGAGATATCATCATCGACCTGATCAGCCAGTGGAGTTCGAACGCGGGTCTGCATTTCAACAGTTGAGGGGTGTACCAACTTCTCTAGGCCAGTTGGTATCTGGCCAAAGTCTTCCGAATAGGCTTCCGACCAGAGCTCCCAGAGCTTGACAGCCTACAGTCTCGTCACGAGATTGGGACCAAGGGTATCCCTTCCAAAAGGGGTGAGGGTGAAGCGGTACTTCGTCGGCTTGTGCGAGGACGGGCTGGCTGTGAACCAGGCCGAGGCGTTCCCAGCCAGCCGTATCCACCCGCCAATGCAATCAGTTTCCATCATGAGAGCGTGCTCTGCTCTCTGAGCATACTCACACTAGGCCCTCAAAATCGCAGAATCCCAAAATGAGCGGCCAGATCTAGTCCTCCTATTATGAGGACTCGATCTGGCCGCTCATTTTGCGATTTTGCGAGTTTGAGGGCCTAGTGTGAGTATGCTCTCACGCGGGGACTTTCCGGGACGTATCGGATCACCACGGGCGCATTCCTGCGTGTTCTATGTGGGCGTACACTGGACGGTAATACCTATCACTGTGGGCGTTTAAACGATTGAGGGGTCAGAGCGGTGTATTGGCTTGTGTATCGCGCTGTTATCAGAATCTCGGTAGACACCGTCCAAGCATTCCAGCACGGCGACCTCTTGCCCCTGCGCACAGGCTCTCCAGCACGTCGTCGGCTCTCTCCGCCTGCACTGCATTCGCGCTGCCGTCTACAAACGCTGCGTTGTTGCGAATAAGAGCGCGTACTACATTTCATTTCTTGCTTGTGCGGGTGTTGATTGCTTCGCGTACCCATCACATCGTTATTCGGCAAGGAGGCGGTAAGTCAATGTGATTCGAGAGTCGTGGCGTTCTGTTCTTCCCGCACGCTCGGTGACGTTGCAGCTACCCTTGGCGTGTTTTCCTTGTTCCTCTTTCTCCTCCTCTGGAATTCCCAGAATACTCTTCTTCTTCTTCCTCTATTTCTACTCTCTTTCTCAATCATCTCCTTCTCGTGTACCTTCTACATGCTGCTGTCTTTGCCAGCGTTTCCTTATTCTTCTTCTGACTGCGTTGGATTGTCTTCAGGACTTCTTTGAGGAGCTGTGGGGTGATTTTTTTTCCGTCGAGTCGGACTCGTTCGCCTTTTTCGCGGAGTGTTCTCTTAAGTTTTGTCCGTGGCCGTCGTCTTCGAACGTGTTCATTTTTGTTGGGGACACGAACGCTCGTGTTTACGCAAACGGTTACGGTACATTTGATCTTGAGATTTGTCAAAGTGAGTGATTGACCGGTTTGTTCGTCCTCCTACTGTGAATGTATCTTTTCAATTCCAAATTTGCATGTACGCATCAGTGAGTGATTGAGTGGTTTGCTTGTCTTTTTACTTTGTTTGCATCTATTCCATTCCAAACGTTTATGTATGCATCTTTTCAACTTGTATTTATTATGCTTCTCTTCTATCGGTCAGGGTTATTACGTATTTGTTGTCGTCTCTTCAGTACAATCGATCTTTCATCCGTTCCCGCTGTCGACGGGGCTGCTCAGCTTGTACGTTCACACATCTCTTCTGACGATCACCGTGAAGTTGTATTGCGCTTCGTGGTGCTCTTTATGATGACTGACACTGTCTCTGCCTGACCTTCGGTGCTTGTTTGGGTTTGTACGTAAGTAGGGAAGGGAAACTATTCAAGTTACAAAGGAAAAAAATGGAAGAGGATGCCTTGATTCTTTGTCGTCTTCGTTTTCCCTCTTACGTTGGACGTGCTGTTTTGGTGAAGAGTTGTGTGCCAATACGTCCAGAATACAGTACAATCCGTCTTTCATCCGTTCCCGCCGTCGATGGTGCTGCTCAGCTTGTACCACCTGACGACACCGTGAAGTTATATGGCACTCCGTGGTGCTCTATGATGACTGACAGACGGATTGTTCTGTCTCTGCCTGACCTTCGGTGCTTGTTTGGGTCTTATTCAAGTAAGGAATGGAGATCATGGAAGCTGAAGAGGAAAACTGGAAGAGGGTGCCTTAATTCCTCGGTTGTCTTCGTTTTTCCTTTGATTTCGAACGTGCTCTTGTGGTGAAGAGGTCTTTTTTCTCTTCGTCCGGTTATCATCAATCAACCAATCTATCAATCGAAGAAGTTGATTGATTGATTGATTGAGGGGCGGGTGAACGTCCGGCGAAATAGTGTGGCACTCCTTACATTGTGGGGTGTATAACTAATACGCGCGCGCGCGCGTGCACGCATGTGTGTGAGAGAGCGGGAGCGGGAGCGGGCGAGGCAGCGGGGGTGAAAGTGGGATAGCGTGTGTGATTGTGTGCGTGCGTGTTGCGTGTGTATGTGTGCGTGCGCGTGGGGTGTGTGAGAGAGCGGGAGGGGGAGCGGGGGAGGCAGCGGGAGCGGGAAAGGCAGCGGGGGTGAAAGTGGGATAGCGTGTGTGATTGTGTGTGCGTGCGTGTTGCGTGCGACCGCCCCGAAGCAATCAATCAGTCAGTCAATTGAAAAGAGGAAAAAAAGCTGCACGTCTTTTTGTTCACACTCTTTTTGTTCTGATTGATTGTTTGATGGTTGAGGGGGCGTTCGCCACTTCCCCGAGCAGACACACGAACACATACATACCCCCGCGCGCGTTTTTCTTCCTGACCTTTCTCTCTTTATGCCCCCTTCACACACGCACACAAACATACACAGCAGGGGAAAAAGGGGGGCGGGAAGAAGGGCGCTGTTAGCGTTTGGTGTCTTTTTTTTAATCTATTTTACAGAAGACGCTTTCCGCCATTTCTCCCCCGAGCGGCAAATTTAAGGCGCTAATATGAAGTGAATGTTCACCCCGACAAGCATGACGGACTGCGCATTGTCTGTTGGTTTTATGAGTACTCGCGATGAATAGTCTACTGTCTGCATTTTCTGAAAGGTCGACTGATGGCTCCATCCTTTTGGGAGTAATTTGGCGAACTGTCGTTTGCATTCGGTTGATTGGTTGGCGGTGTAAAAGAGTTGGATGTCTGTTCATGCAAAATTAGAGTGCCATCGCATCTTGGACAGATCGCAGAAGTAGGCACTGTCACGTACAATATAGGCGTTAAAGATTTGGATTTCTGTTCATGCAAAAAATTTGAGTGCCATCGCGTCCTGGACAGATCGCAGAAGTAGGCACTGTCACGTACAATATATAGGCGTAAAAGAGGTGGATTTTGTTCATGCAATTTGAGTGCCATCGCATCCTGGACAGATTGCAGAAGTAGAATTTTCTGAATCCGTGTTGGATATTGTGTGCTCTCTGACGTTGTGTGTCTCAGCGGCGTGTATGATCGGGTGCGGCCGGGAGTAATTGATTGCCAATCAAGTCGAAGAAGTGGTCTCCGCCGGTCTCCTGTTGAGGGAGTCGACAGCGCTCGGCTTTTTTCGGCCACCTCGCAAACACTGCGGGACTTTTGACGGAGTTTGATGTCATGGAGAAGCACTCAGGAGTAGTCTGTGGGAGCAATTCGCAAATGACGCATTACTATGAGCGCTCCTTGATGTACGTCGTGGAAGACGTGCGCCCACACGGGGACGTGCCGAAGTTCCACTCTGCGGCGTACTCCGACTGCTTGCGCAAGCCGTCCTGATAGGCCGCGGCAGCGTCTGTCATTGTTGTATCATGCCACGTCGTATTCTCAGTTCACCGTGTTGTTGTGCGCCTATTATACTAGCTCGGATCATGTTGACTTCGTTGGAGAGGAGGAGATGTGGTAATCGTCCGCGACCAGCTAGCATGTTCTGCAGTCATTTGAGGGGAGAGTGATGCTCGTTGGCGTCGCTTTTTGAGGTAGTCCACATTTCTAGATTGGGATGTCTCCTTCTACAGTAGGCTGTGCGTACGGGACCTTTCACTGTGCTCTTCGGCGTCGATGTTTGTGCTTTATGCGTGTCGACCGTGCATGGCGCGGACGACTGAGTGACTGTGTCATTTTCTCTGCGCGAGTCGTGCGAGGAGCGCGCGCGGGTTTTGACTTTTCCTTCTGACGCCTGTGCGTTTCACATCTCCTTGTGAGGACAGTGATCCCTGCGGCAGCGTTTCCGGTGTCTTCTTCTTCCTCGCCTTCCCCGACGGGATGCTGCCGCGGTAGTCGATCGATTCGCCAAGGCGGTCCTGCTGGTGTCGTTCCTGGAGGTGGCTTCTGCTTCCTCGCCTTCCCCGACGGATTGCTGTGGGTCGTTGTTCGTTGGGTTGTCAAACCTCGTTCTTGTCAGCTTTCTGGGCCGGATCTGCTGTTTGTCGTTGTTGTTTGGGAACGTCGAAGGCCGTCGCGGTGTGACGGTGGAGTGATTGTCGAGAAGGAAACGTCTGTTTGGTGTGAATATAACAGTAATTCGGTCGATATGGCGCCTAGCTTAGCCAGTGGGGTGTCGACTTCCCATTTCGGAGTTGTCTCGAGCCTCCCAGCGCCAGGTTTTGAGGGGTTCGAAAAGCGCTTGGAAGTCTGGTTCTCTCCCGCTTCCTCTGCCACGTGCAGGGGCGACGGTGGTAACGGGACATGGTCGTCGGGGCTGTCGGGTCTGCGGTTGCTTTCGCGAGAGGAATTGGATGCGCTGGTTGAAGTTGCGGAGTGCACTATTGTTTCTCAATTGAGCAATGACCAGTTCGACGCCTATGTTCTCTCCGAGTCTAGCCTATTCGTGTATCCATTTAAGCTGGTGATGAAGACTTGCGGGACGACAGCGCTTCTGCGAGCGGTTCCGTATCTGCTGAAGTGCGCGGCGCGTTTGGGCCTGCAGTCGTGCGGCTGCAAGTACACGCGCGGAACGTTCATGTTCCCGGCCGCTCAGCCGTATCCGCACGGCAGCTTCCAGCAGGAGGTGGAGTTCTTAGATCGCCACTTCGGGAGTCTGGGCGCCGGAGGCAGATGGTTCGTGTTGGGCGATCACGGGGTCTTCCCAAGGTGGCACGTGTATCACGCTGAGTCGGACGTCTCCGCTGCTATCGAGTCCGAGCAGGAGAAGCGGGGGTTTCTCAAACCGAGAGAGCCGACGTTTACCCTGGAGATGTGTATGACTGAGCTGAATCGACAACTGGCGAAGCAGTTCTGGAAGGGTCCACACTTCGTAAATGCAAAGACTGTCACGGAGCGCGCCGGAATAGCGGATCTGCTCCCGGGGTCTGAGATTGACGACTTCATGTTCGACCCGTGTGGCTACTCCATGAACGGGGTGGAAGGGGGCGCGTGTTCCACCGTGCACATCACCCCTGAGGACGGTTTCAGCTATGCGAGCTTCGAGATGATGGGTTACGACAGAGGGACTGACGTGGGGGCCATTGTGCACCGAGTCCTGCAATGTTTTAAGCCTGGGCGATTTTCTGTTGCGATTACCTGTGATGGCTTGCCAGGTGTTGCAGGAGTCGGTCGCTGGGGCACTTCTCTGCCGTTGTTCGAGGGTTATGCATGTGATAGCAGCAATCGAAAAGAATTCATGTCTGGCGGACGAATTGCATTCCACACATTCCGATGCGTCTCATCTGAAGAAGTAGAGGCAAGTCAAGTGTCGGGCTGCTCTTTCGTCGATCCCCTTCCTCTCTTCTCGGACCTCAAGACTCGCGTAATCCGAGGTTCCAAGCCACGGTACTCGCATCGTCTGGAGACTACTGACGCCGAGCAAGTGCCCATTGAAAAAGCCGCCCCGCTGGTCGAATGCGGGAGTGGATGGTGGCTCGTGGAAGATGCCGCTCGTAACTAGTAGCCTACGTATGCAATGAAAGTGGTCGTTTTGATAAAGAACGACTGTTTGTCGGTTTTGGCTTGGCTGATTGTCGTTTAGTATATGCCATTTTTGACGGTGCGCAAGAAAAGAACTCTTTATTGTCGAGGATTGGTCAAACCTTCGTTGCTGGGCAGTGATTTACAGATAGTCGTGCAGTGATTACAAATACTGTGCTTTCATCTTCTGACGTCATTCTCGAGTGTTTTCGTAGACGCTAGGTAGACGTGTCTTTCTTTAATCGTTGGCAGTATGATCGCGGGCGGTCTACTGTGTATATGTTACTGGACTGTGCTCTGCTATGTGTGTGTAGACGATCCCTACGTACGGCTTTGTTTGCCTGTTTTATAGCGTTGAAACAGTCATAGGAGAATCCCTGATCCAAATCATCCCGCGGACCCCTAGTAATCTGCGGTTAAGTAGTGGGAGGGCTAGTGTTTTGTCTCCATCGCCTGTTCCCCAACCCTCCCTCCCTTCCCCTCTCCCAGGTATAGTCCTGTTGGGGCTTTTTTGCTTTCAAGCAATGTTTGTTCTTTTTTCTTAGCGTTTGGTCTGTTCCCCAACCCTCCCTCCCTTCCCCTCTCCCAGGTATAGCCCTGTTGGGGCTTTTTTTGCTTTCAAGCAATGCTTGTTCTTTTTTCTTAGCGTTTGGACCTATCTGCTTTCAAGCGATGTTTGTTCCTTTTTCTTAGCGTTTGAACGTATATGCTTTCAAGCAATGTTTGTTCCTTTTTCTTAGCGTTTGGACGTATGAGCTAGTTGATGTGACCCCTGATGCTACGACAAATAGTCTGTCTAGGGAGAAAATGTCGTGTCAAATGTCTTTTGCAAGCTGTGTTTGTTACACGGCATGGGTACTGGGCAATTCTAAAATGATGGCGGTACTCTTTGCTGGTCATGGCGTCTCCCGATTGCTTTGCGTGTTGTGTCGGAATGTCATTCTTCACCACAACCTTGTTGCTTGGACTGTTAGACTTTGAGCGCTTGGAATGCAATGAGTAGGGGGTCCTTCAAACGCCTGATTGGACACCCAAGCCCCCGACCTCTCTCAGACACGAGCGCGCAGGGCTGACAGGCTCTATCTGAATTACGTGCACGCAGGTAGGGAGCAGGAGCGACGTGATTGTCATTCGAGCACCGGAGCGCCGGTCTGTCAGAGTGGGTGCGCCGAGAATGAAATGAGAAGCAGGAGGGCTTAAACGTCTCATTGCACACCTAAAGCCCCTCTCTCTCGCACAGACAAGCACGCGTATACCCCTCTCTCACACATACATGCACATAGGCGGGGAATCAGGGCGTGATTTGTACGAGGGTTGTGCTTAACCTCAGCCCCTCTCTGTCACTCACACGTCGTAGGCGCACGCTCGGACAAGCCCGCACACACACACACACACACACACACACACACACACACACACACACAGAGGGAGAGAGAGAGTCTCGCACAGACAAGCACGCGTATACCCCTCTCTCACACATACATGCACATAGGCGGGGAATGATTTGTATGAGGGTTGTGCTTAACCTCAGCCCCTCTCTGTCACTCACACGTCGTAGGCGTACGCTCGGACAAGCACGCACACACACACACACAAAGAGAGAGAGAGAGAGAGAGAGAGAGAGAGAGAGAGAGAGAGAGAGAGAGAGAGAGAGAGAGAGAGAGAGAGAGCTGGGCCTCGCTCGCTGGGCCTCGCTCCTGCATGCTGCATTCAGGGGCCGGGTGTGCAAAAACCTGTCATATCCGCGAATACGCTGCTTATACATGGACGTGGCTATGTTCTTTGGATGGGTGCTTGAGTGAATACACGTAGGCTTCTTTCCCGTCTCCCACTCACAGAGGCACGCCTGTGTCTGGGAGTCATGGATGAGGGGGCGCACAGGGTTGAGGTCGGAGTACAAATGATGCGTGTGCGTGGTGTGTACCGCAATGTGTGGGTACGAGAGAGGGGTTGTACTGCTGAAGGGTTGTACTGCTGATGCACAGGCTCACTGAACAAGCACTAGTATGGGCGGGTACGAGAGGGGTTGTTCTGCTGATGTACAGGCTTATGACAACTGAACAAGCACGTTGTCGGACGGATGGCAAACTCTTGAGGGGTTCTTTTTCTATGGGATCAGTAGTCCGCTCAACAGTTTCACGAATGGGGAGGTGGGCTCGTGCACTTGCATCCTCGGAACGGCCAGCGTGTGAATCCGTGCGCCTTGCACCCAGACTGGTGCTAACCAGAGTCTCTATCAGCCCCATTTTTAAGCCCACGAGGGTCTGGATTTCAATGTTTGAATCCAAGTCGTTGCTGGCGATCCAGGAGGCGCTAACAGCAGTGGTCCATGCACAGATATGGCTTCTACCGCTCTCGAGATACGGCCTCTACCGTTGTGGAGTAACGTTGGCTGTTCGGTACCTGGCCCTGTTAAAAGATATTTACCTTTCTTGAAAGGATGGCCTTGGCTTATCATCACTGAGCTGACCGGCTCCAGGTAATTCAAAATTATTTTATGCTGGTCGTCTGATCGTACCTGGATTCGAACTTGGATCTGTATTGCAACAGGTCGTTGGTGTACCAATTGACTTACCGTGAGGGCACGGGGTGCGCCGCCCGTAGTTTGTATTAGCTTGATTGATGAGAGAGAGAGAGATGGTGCGGAACAAATCCAGATGGCATGTAGATAACCGGGGTCCACACCGTTTCAGATTCGAATTTCAAGGCCCTCCGCCCCGCATGCCGTTTCAGGCGTGGGTCCACCGTTTCAGATTCGAATTTCAGGCGTGGGTCCACCATTTCAGATTCGAATTTTAAGGCCCTGCGGCCCGCACACCGTTTCAAATTTGTTTGGACTGCGGGGTTCCCAGGAAAACGCCACGGACAGCTACCGGTCCTGGATTTGCTTGAACTGTGGCCCCCCCCCCAAATGCCAGTGCTGTTCATTTTACCAGCCTTTGAACGACCAATGGGCCCGAATGACAGGGGGGGGGAAACGCAACCCTGAAACCCTGACGGGCTGTGAATGCGAACTGGTTTAGGCCTGTTGGTAATTTTTTTCTTTTTAGCATGCCAGTTGAAAGGGTATGGACTAAAACCCCCATAATCCAGGACACCCGCGGCCTACTACTCCAGATGATCACCGTGTACTGAGTGACTGGCCTCTACAATACCATGGACTTTTAAAATTAAAAATAAAAAATAAAAAAAATAACGAGGGACGTGTAAGTTTGTACATTAGTGTGTTAAATCAGTGTAGCTTAGGATAATGCTCGCACCTTGTATTTTGCAGTGTTCGAGGGAAGGAGGAAGTCCGGAAAGTGGTCTCATGGGGCATTTTGCTCTCCTGGATCCCTGCTCAAACACAGTCACGCATCCTTGCTTGGGTAGCTCACAGATTTTTTGTTGTTGTGTTTGTAAAACAAGTGGTCACGGGTCGTCGCTTATTTGCTGTAGCACGGAAGGTATGATCCGTTTGGAAATCCGTATCCGTAGGTGGCTGCTCAGTGACAAGTGCTGGGGAAGTTCAGAGATATTTGTTTTCGTCGTGTGCGCTGGTGAGATGTCTAAGCACAAGCCGGGCTGCTCAGTGACAAGTGCTGGGGAAGTTCAGAGATATTTGTTTTCGTCGTGTGCCCTGGTGAGATGTCTAAGCACAAGCCGGCAGGCTCGGCACCTGTTTGCTCGTTTTTTTTGGTTTTTTTACCGAACTTCAAGATATCATCGACGAAGTAGACCGAGGCTGGGGACCTCACAATTCTACCCGGAGTATTGGGAGCAGCTTCACTTCAGCCATCAGGGCAGTCAACAATTTAAGAACAGAAACGATTACAGAGCTAGACATTACTTGGACTAATCTACTGCAAACCATTGCGAACAACGGAAATCCTACGAGATGACCAACCTAAATTGGCTACCGGGCCCCTTACCACCAGTACTTGGGCACTGTGCGCCGCGCCGGCCGCACCTTTTTTGAAGCGGCGTGGGCTGTTGATACGATTCATCGACGGCCCGCCGGTAGCGAAATTCCCGTAGTGTTAACGCTAAGGCGTCACCCAAGTACTGGTGGTTTAGTTAGGCCCGGTGGAGACGGAACTCCTTTGTTTAGCAGCACTGTCCTATGTGGACCGCCGCGTCCCTACCAACCGAGAGTGCTTGCCCGTTAATGCTACGCGATTTAGGAAACGTACGGGCCACTACAGGAGCGCCCAAATTCATCCAACTAGAAACGTTTCTAGTACTCTTATTTTTTTCTGCGGCTGATAGCTGGGCTAAGTTCTAATGGTGGTTTAACCACTCTAAACTGAACTAGTACACTATGTGAAGTTACAAACAAGAACAAATCGAAGGAGACGGGGGGAGAGGAAGCAGGGGCGGGTAGGAAGGACATTCATAAAAGAGGGAGGAAGAGGGGTACAGAGGAAGAAGGGAAAGGACAGGCAAACAGGGGGAGGGACTAATCGTCCCTCTGCAACCAATGCGAGAGAGTCGGTCCCTCTGTACGATGGAAGCCTTGATTCCGTTGGGGCCAAGTCTTCAAACCCACCAAATTGCTTGTCCGGAGCCTCTCCCCTGCTGAACTCGCGTTTCCAATCAACCAGGATCGCTTGCCTCGTCCCTTTCTTGACTGTAGCCTTCTTGACTGTAGCCTTCAGTTTCGGATCAGAGAAAGGGTGGTGTTTGAATCGAGAGTGATTTCTGTTTGCACAGATTACCGGGTGCTTCTGTTTGCACAGATTACCGGGCAAGATGACTGCACGTGGAACGTGGTCACATATATGTCCATCCTCTTTTCCCTTTACGTTCTGCAGGTACAAAACTTGGTAGGCAGGACCCACTTGTCGTTTCACTCTTATGTTAGTACAAAACTAGGCAGGACCCACTTATCATTTCACTCTTATGTTACTTCCTCCAAACTGTTTTTCGAGTGCCCGGACCACCAGTCCCACGCTCTTCTCGAGGCTGGGGAATCCCACCACGAATGTTTAGTAGATTCAAAAGGCCAGGTACAGCTCGACTACCTGAGGTGGGCGTCCGTGCCTCTCCCCACAAGCCAGACCGTTGACGGTGTATATCCAAAACCGACGAGAGCCGCACGATGATTGCATGTTCTGCTTCGGAAGATCAATCATAATATGATTCCCGAACTGTAAACGAAGACAGGTGCAGAGGCTCTCTGAAGGACCTCGTGTGCATTGCCATGCCAGCGGATAAATGCTCAGCTCCCTCTCAATGGGACCCTTCCCACCCATTGAGCGTTTACCTCCTCAACGGTGCGCTCCCCACCGACATCTCTTGGACCCGGATCTCTGGAGGGTTATCCCAGGTCCTCGTCAGCATCTTACCTACCTTCGTCAAGACATTGTGCATGCGCGATTGTACGCTCTGCACTCGTGCAATTGTTCGAAGCCAATTTGTGTCGAGCCTTGTACTTTCCGTACAGTGCCATTGTCGGAGCATACCATATGCGGCATGCCTTACTGGGTCCAGGCTCCGAGTCTCCAGGCCTATCAGCTGTACCCAATGCCTGGGAATGGCCAGAATCACCACGGCCAGTTTTCTTCAACTCTCCGGAGGCCCTGTAGTTGGTTCTTGATTTTTGAGAAGGTTTGTCACGAGCCTAGTATGGGATTCCACAGGTCTACAGTATGAATAATACCTCTCTTGATCCATGAGCGACCAAATGCTGCTGCTGCCTGTGAACCAGCCAAAAATTTCTCTCCCTCGTCATCACGGATGGAGGCCCCGGCTTCTCAAAGAGCGGCTGGCACAACATCTCCTCCTCCTTGGTGTGCGGCAGCAAGCTGGTGTCTGGGGAGCGGTTGGCACAAGATCTCCTGCTCCTTAGTGTGCGGCGGTAAGCTGGTGTCCGGGGGATAGTCCTTCCAAGAGCGACGAACAACCTCCCAAAATTCAGACTCTCATTTGCTGCTGTTCGTGAA